GCGCACAGCCAACAGTTTTGCCTTGGAAGAAAAACATCTGGAAGAAGAAGAGATAAGAAACAGGTGCATACCAAGTTCACCAGAAGAATTTGGAGTCCTGTGGGTGCCGCTAACTCCGCTGTCGGTAGTTAGAGCTGAAGGAAAGGCCATGAGTGGAAGGGGGAAGAAGTGGAAATCTCCATGCTCCTGTTGCGTGAACCGGTACTGCATGCACTCCAGAGACTGTTGTAAAGGGAAAACTGTCTCTCTATACAGTCATAGATGTGTCGTGGAGCTGAATTGTGCCTTTTTGGATCAGGCAAGGGTCTTGCTGGTAGAGTACTAGCTTAACTCTGCACTGGAGTCCTAGGCAGAGGGTCAGCCCGCACTGGGCGGTTGAATCACAAACCAGACGGCTCTGTGCAGTTCTGGACCTGGCAGCACTGAGCCCATATCACTGGCGTGGTCTGCTCTGCCTTTGAGCCATGTTTGAGCATGGTTCCAGCTTGGCCCCATTCAGAGGTGGTTTGGCGGGGATAAACTGCCTCCAGCGTGACCTGCCTCAGCCCACCTTTGCACTTTTTTCTCTTGTCAGACAGTGCGATGTGCGTATGAATGAGATTCCCATGGTAAAACAGCTCCCAATTTTTTATTAAAAGAATATATACCATCTAGAAGCCTGAAAGCCAACTGAGTAGTCAGTGGCATACTTTGGCTGAGAAATTTCACTGAAGGGCCATCCTTAAGTGGCTCTTGTTTAGGTGGAGGATAGTTTGCTTACACCAGAGCTTGCATCAAATCCAAGCATGACCCCTGCCATCAGGCACAGCAGCAGCAGGGACGGGGAGGCTGAAGGGGAGCTGTAATTCTGCAGGAGCCCTGTGTATGCAGCCCTACGTAGCCTGGGGGAGGGAGCCCCGCTGGGTCCGAGGCAGAGCTGAACTGCTAGTCTGGATGAGTTCAGTGCTGTGAATCTGTCTCATCTCCTTGGACATAGCCTTAGTGGGGTAAAGTACTTCCAGCTCTTAACCTAATGTCCCAGCTTTCTTTCAGCTCTGCCTGAAAGGAGAGGCTAGGGGCAGAGAAGATGGGTGGTGGGAAAATAGCACGCAAAGGCTTGCTTGCTTCTTTGCTTAGATCAGGTCTCTGAGTCGGACTTTACATAATAAATGATCAATATATGGATAGCACGTCACTCTGAGAAGTGTAACCTGAATAGAGAATGCATTAGGCAAGAGGCAGCCAGGTGGGACTGATGTGGAGAAAAGGACAGCCGAGAAGGGAGCACAGCACTGTCTGCACAGCTTTCGAAGAAAGACTTGGATTTAAACTCATGCCAGAATCATGACTGCTTCCCCAGGCCTGGAGCAGCACAGTGCTGCTGGCCCAGAGGAGGGAATGAATAATTTGGAAAAAGCACTGAGCCCAGGACCTAGAAACCAATCTCGTAGGCAAACACAATCTCAAGGCTCTGGAGCTGTATCACAAATGCACTTTTGTTTGCCTGGGCAGATTAACTTCTATTATAAATTGTGGCTGCCACTGTCATCTGGTTCGTGCAGATAAATAATTGCTCTCCTGGAACCACTGTTGGGTCCCCCTTGCTGCCCAATCCAGTATTACACATGAGCATTTAAAAAGGCTGCTTGAAGTTGGTAGTGGACCAAAACCTGTGGCTGTTGCAAGTGTAGTCTCATTGGACATACAAAATACTTCCTTGATTTTGCTTTATGCCCTGGGGGGGGGAAATGAGACCAATTGATTGTATCGTAAATGAAACAGCAAACTAATCATTTGGTCCCCAAAGCTGCAGAGAAACTTTTTTATATTTGACCTTCTGAAGGTTTGAGTCATTCTAAAAAAAAATCCTGAAAGGGTTTGTTCCAGAGGAAACTTTGCACATGGTTTAATGTGAGCCTAGTAATTTAAAATAAAACTACTGCTGTAAAGACCAATGTATATCTCCTTGTGTGTATAGTGTCTCATCTTTAAGTGACTTATTGCACACATGCCATATGTAGCATCCTGAAATCTGTATATTTATTTAAATCTATTGATTTTTTTAGACAGTAATTTGCAAAATTTAATTTGTAATAAATAATGACAAAAGTCAATACAATTTTTCTTCCTTATTTGATGGCTGGGTGGTGGTGGATGAAGTGAAAGAAACCCACATGGCCAAAAGCACTGTGAAAGTGGGTGGGACAGCAAAGCTGGGTGAGAATGGGGGGCTATGTAGTCTTGTGAACAGTCCTGAGCAAATTTCAGTTCAAAGTGAATCTAGCTGATTTAAACATTCCTTAACTCACTCCTTTCTAGATGTCTATGGGAACATAAATGTGAAATAATCCCCAGTCTGTTGTGCTTGGGGCTGTGGATGCTGAGACCAGCTTGAATGCTTGTGCCAAGGATCCTGTTAATGTTTTCCCATGGTTTAGTCCTTTGCCTCAAATCCTCTCAGCAGCTGTGACTGTGGGTGTCAGCATCACAGGGCCAGAGCAACCACACACCCTCTTCTGCACCCACTAAATTTTAGATCTGAGTTTTGCGATTGTTTTTAATTCTTCTTTTTAAGTACAGTTAAAAAGTCATCATCCATTTGATGGTCTTTTTTGCACGAAGACCACACCATAGATTATTCTAGTGTAGTTAACTCAGCGAACCTCATGGCGCTGCTGTGAGAAGGGAATAAAAAAGAAACATTAACGTAATAGCTAGCACTGTGCTTGCTGCATACGCAGAAACCATAGCACTTCTTCGTGGGTTTCCCTGGCTTCCTGGGAACAGTAGTTCAGAGAGCTACAGCCCCGTCCTTTCCTATTGCCCAGGTTTCTTGGCTGAGCTGCATCACCCATGGCCAAGCCTCCACCCTGTGACTTGGTGTTAGAATGTGCGAAAATCAGATTCCTTCAGATGTTTCTATGACAATGTCATAGTTTCTATGACTTTAATGATAAAGGTCCATGATAAAAAGGACCTTGAATTACAGGTGAAAGGGAAAAAAAGGTACCCTGAAACACTGCAAATTTCCTATGTATGATATCTGTGGTGCAATTCTCCCCTCTTCTGCTCAACCTTGTTCCAGAACAGGTCTGATAATTTTGCCTGTTTGGAGTAACAATTTCCACGGCATCTTGCTTGGACTGATTTCAGGTGGTGTGAATGAGGAAGCTGAGAGCTATTGGAAATTAATTCATTTCCCAGGAAAGATTTCCCCATCATCTGGAATGTCTATTGAGCCAGCCTTGGGCCCGGCCTTTTATTTGTCTTTCTTAGGTCACAGAAGAACTATGGCCTTAGTCAGCACTTGGTCTCAGAGAACAAAACATCCCTGCTCGGGCAGCTCATGGCCCAGCCAGCTGTGAGAGTAATAGCACAAGGGGAGCATCGCTTTTGCTGGAGGTGTGACCATAAGAAATGCCCTCCAGCCCTGCTAGAGTGTGTGGACTTGAAGCAAGACAGTCAAACAAGGAGAGAGAAAATTTGAACTAATCCATTTGTGGGTGGGTTGGTTGTTTTTTTTCTGGCCCTAAGATCAATGAACAGAGGAAAATTTCCAGATAGGGCTGAACGATGGAAAATCTTCCAGGGCAGGCTCTACACATTCACTTGGGGAAACTTTGGACTCACTGTTGAATACTACAGAAGGGAATATTGGAAGTCAACTTATCTGGATAGCCAGTTTAAAAATACCACAGGCCAGACATCCAGAAAAGTCCCCCAAGGCCCCGATGGAAAAATCTCAGAAGACCTTCTTGCTAGGATCTTATATAAGGCCCCTCTGGTGTCCCACCCAGTGCTGAGGAGCAACCTGAGCCTGGCAGTAACCCCATGGTGTCGCCTGGAACAATGCTGACATCTGTGCAAAGCCCAGCCCTTCGGGTACAGTTTTAATTACAAGAGCTAATTAGGTATCACCCAAGGGAAGAAGAGAAGGGAGATGCTTAAGAGCATCTTAATTAGGGTGAAAAGGGAGAAGAGAGGATGAGCTTATTCTGAGGTTATTGAATTCAGTGATAAAGATTAGCTGAAGTTGATTGAAGGAGGCATATTTTATAAATTCTGACACGTAACAGGAAAGAACAGAATAACAAAACTTTAATAGAGAGGAAAATCCAGGAAAGCAGGCAACTTCCAAAGCCAGTTCTAAGTGTAAGTGCTAGGGTATCTTTCCTAAGATACAA